TATATCATAGCGTATGCAGCAACATTAAGTCTACTGTCATGTTTGATGGTCTTTTCAAGGTCATTCGTATAAATATGGAATAAGAGAGGGGGGAAAGAGATCCTCCCTGAGGTACGCCGGACGAGCAATTTCTAGCCGTTGATGTATAGTCAGCAGAGCGTATATTCATTTCAGTTTGCTAGGTAAGATTTAAACCATTGAAGCATGTTTCCACTCAATCCAACGCTTTCTATTTTGTCAGAAGGCGGTTCCTGCACACGGTATCGAAGGTTCAGTTAAGTCGAAATATATTACATCTACTCTTCCCCAGATTGAGGGCCTCTATCCAGGTATAGTGAAATCAATCCACTGGGTGCAAGTGGATGGTCTTGGTAGAAAACCAAACTGTTCCTGAGGTATATATTGTGCTTTGATCACCCGATCTAGAAGGTTTCCGTTGATTATTTTCTCCAGTACTTTCAGAGGGGAAGGAAGAATACTTATCGGTCGAAAGCAAAACGCTTTGTTCGAGCCAGTGACCTCCGGAATAGGTGTAACTAGTGCGTGTTTCCATATGGCAGGCACGTGACCTAGTAAAAGCATAAAAGGATAAAGTCTTCGCCGTTGATCAATTCCTTTGTGGGATGCGGCACGCATTCTCCTTCCATTCAGAATCGTAGTGGCTTACTGAATGCGATGCGGCCTATACAATGATTTGCGGGGGCCAGCCGATGTGCAAGTCAGTGTTTTATCCTCCCAGACGAGTCTGGTACCAATTTACCGTCCCCGGAGGGTAGAAGGTTTGGTTGGCCTGGGCGGGTGTCGGCCCGGGATTCGAACCCGGTGCAGCGCGAGTGGTAAGCGCCACTTGTCACTACACCACCTCCCCCAGACGTGACCTAGCACCAGAGAAATATTGAAGAAATGGGCTAAAGGGGTAGCAATTTCTTTAGCGAACTGCTTGAAGAAATATTGTGGTATTTCATCGCGGTAACTGAGAAAGACGGGTTAAAAGTGCGTAGTTGTTTGAAAACCATATTCGAAGTAATAACCGGTAATTGGAAGCATTTTCCTACAGTAAAAGCCGTTAAGTGATATTCTTTTGTATGAACAAAAACGCTTTCGAAATAGTCAGCCGAAACTTCACCTTTCTCTTTGCGGTAGATATATTTTTTCCATCTAACCCTTCAATAACCTGCTCCACTGATGCATGATTGAAGAACGTCTTTATATAAGCCGCAAGCTGTTTTCGGTTACGGGTACCACTGAGCTTTTTTACTCTATGTGCCAAGAACCGTTTCAAATGGTGATCCAACTCTTCATTGATTTTTTGATAGATATCGGATATCACAGGATGACATATCCGGAAGAACAGCCTTTCTCGCTGCTGGTGTAGATTTCTTATATGGACACGGCAACCAGACGTACGATCAATGATTTCTCTCAGGGGAAGAATGAATTGATAAGGAGTGGATGATATCGCAAAAACGTCCATATAATTCATTGATGCTTCGATAGTATCAAATATTTCATACCAGTTCATACGAGATGATGATAAGCGATTACATCTTCATGGTAAGTTTGAAGTCTCGAATGAGGGTAGGACGTTCGTCCCTGATGGTTGCAGGCATGGTAAAGGCGACAGTGGTATAATGAGATGTGGAGAGCGGCGGCATTGCATAAATGTAGGTGATGCTGTTCTGTACGAAAAAGAGTAGGTCAAGGATTTTGCCCTTACGAGTTGGGAAGTCAACAAATTGCACCAAGGATAATGAGTCAAATAGAGTTAGGAACTTGTTTGCTGAGGAAGAATTGTTCATTCGAAGTGACCAATCAAACTTTAGGTCTAGGTCTCCCAACACAGTTGTGAATACAGGTGTTGCAGAAGTCATGTCAGAAATGACTGATAACAAAAGTTCGTCTTGGACGCTAGTTGAATGGGACGGGCGGTAAATAATAAAAAAACGATGTTTACGACTGGAAGGCAAAAGGGTATAAAAGGATATCACATCAGCGACTAGGATGTTGCATTTGAAAGAGATGTTTTTATAAAGCGGTAGGCTGTGAGTAAGTACTCCTCCTTTTCTAGCTATCCTGTCCTTTCTGGTGGAACTATATGGGAGATTCGAACAGATTTCAGAATCAACTGAACTTCTTAACCACGATTCACTCACAAAAGCAATACAAGGTTCAACGCTACTTAGGAAGCAATGAGGATGAAAAATTTTGTTCGCCAAGCTTCTAGCATTTAGTAGTGTACAGGTTGGGTCAATAACTTGTGCTCGGCACAGGGCGTATGGGAAAGACCCGGTCATTCGAATGAGAACTGTCTAATTTGGCTGTGGGTATGTAGGTTACTTTGGTGAGTTCTCCTTCATAAACGGTGTAAATACGCTCACCGTTCTGCTTTTTTGATTGAGTTCACGTCCTCGCCTACGTAACTCCTTGCCTTTCTCGCGCTCTTCTCTGGTCTTTTGCTATTTTCCACAAACACTTTGACTGCAAACGACCGCACACCGACACGGAAGACTCCGCCCATTCCCTAAAGGGTTTGGTGCTCTAGGCTCCGCCCCTGCTATTTGCGGAATTTTTTTTTAAATTTCACGCTGCTACATGAAGCCCTGTCCACGGGGAGAGGCTCCACCCACTCCGGAGAGGCCCCGCCCTCTTCTCAAAAATGATATAAATTGGCAGTGTAGTCTCGGCTGCCATAGTAGGGTATTGCTGATCATTTGGAACAATTTTTGCATATTTCCTTGTTCCGAGTGGCGAGCGAGACCCCAGCATGCAAGCCAAGACCCTATACTGCCGATTGGTACCACCTCTGAAAAGTGGGCGGGGATTCTTCAAAGTGGGAGGAGCCTCTCACAATGGGCGAGGCTTCACGCAACAGCCCTAACGCAGAAATTTTGAAAAAATATAAATTTTCGCAAAAAGCAGGTGATCGTCGCCAAGGGGCGGAGCCTAGATTGCCAAACCCTCTAGAGAAAGACGGAGTCGGCCATGTGTCGATGTCCAGTGCTTTTCAGTCTGTTTGAGGGAAACAGCAAAAGACAAGAAGTCACAGAAGCAGAAGTTATGAAACAAGATTTGAAAATCCATGTCCGCGCTGACAAGTAGGCGTCGCCGTCGGGGCGAGGCTCGCAGTGTGACTGGGGTGATCTGGTTGATGAAGTGCCCGGCCTAATAAGTGTGGTGAATTTGATTTAAAAAGTGGTGGTGAATTTGGTTTGAAAAGTGTGAATTTGGTTTGAGAAGTTGTAAATTTTGTTTGAATAGTGGTGAATTTGAAGTAAAAGGGTATATCTCTCTGACGCAAACATTGATAAAATTTGCTTTTGTACAGGGAAACAAGAATTTGACTTCACTGACACACACATCATACTTATAACGTATAGGAACTGTTCATTGTGAGTGTGAATGATCAGCGATCGAAATCAGAAATAATATCAGATTCTGTGTGTCCGAGCTACAGGATTCATGACTGTGAGCGATTGTCCCCAGAAATTCTTATGTGGATTTGAAGGATCCTTATTCAGGATATGAATAGGGAACTATAGTATGCTTCAGTCGCCGAGCAGGTTTCACCTAACACTTCTCATTCTCGAAAAATTCTAAGTTTTGGCCCTCACCAATGAATTTCGACGAATGATCAAGAAAAGCTTTATATAGAACCAGCCGGCTCGCCGGCGTGAGCCGGCGAGCCTCCTTCTGATACGTCCCCGCTGCGCGGGGCGGGCGCGGCTTCGCCGCGCGTATTTTCTTTCACATATTTTTAGGCTCAACTGATATCCGTCTTTTGTTCTATACTCCACTTTTTTTTATGGTGTCAGAAGTACTCTTGAGCTATTTTACGGATTCTTCGTTTGACCCCGGCCACCTCGGAGCAGGCCCCGCCCACAATATGTGCCCTACAATCTTAACAGGCGACCCTCTGCTGACCTTAATCCGCTTTTTTCCGGTGTCTGGAGTGCTCTGAAACTATTTTACACATTTTTCGTCTGACTCCGCCCACCTCAAGGTAGACCCCGCCCACAAATTTTGTGCCCCACAATCTTCACCGACGACCCTCTGCTGACCTTAATCCAAATTTTTTTTCCGGCCTTTGAATTGCTCTGGACAGTTTTAGAGAGTTTTCGTCTGGCTCCACCCACCTCGGGCTGGCCCCGCCACAATGTATACCCCACATTTCTCAATTGGCGACTCCTTGCTGACCAGAATTCACGTTATTCCGGTCTTCGGAGAGCTCTGGAGACCTTTTTGTCTGGCTCCGCCCACCTCAGAGCAGGCTTCGCCCACAATGTTTTTGCCCCGCAATCCTCACCGGCGACCCTCTGCCGAACTGAGTCCACTTTTTTTCCGGTGTCTGGAGTGTTCTGGAACCGAGCTACAAGCTCAATGAATACCCTGCGATTTAGGGCAAGCTCCGCCCGCTGTGGGCGGGTCTCAACACACTTTGAGCTGCCCTATATTCGCCAGATATTTACAATCTACACTGAGTTTTGCGACTTCCAAACATTCTCGCTAACCGGGTTACTGAATTGTGCGAGAAGCACCGCCCACCTTGAGAACGCCTCGCCCATTTTGGATGTGTCTGCCACAGTTAGTCTGGCGACTCCTTGCTAACCTTAGTCCCTTTTTTCTTCATCTTTAGCTGCTCCGGATGTGAATTATGAACATTTTTCTGCGGAAACCCAAACTTTCGGCGAGTGCCCCGCCCACTGTGGGTGGGGCTTCCCATAGGTCAAGTGCGCTTTTTATCTCTTGTCCCATGCTCTACCCATCCCCACCTTGCCCCGACCTCTCCAGGTCGTTCTTCGGGTCGAACCGAATTTCCGGACAGACAAACAAACTTACAAACAGACAAACAAACAAACAAACGGACGAAGCGAATTATATATGTGGGGTGATAGCCTGAGGAAAACTCGATCATTCGCAGATACGCGCCAATATATGAAACGGCTTCAACAAGAAAATTCTTCCATGGTCGAACAGAGACAGTGCGTGGATGCACCCAAGAGATGGTTAGCTTTGGTCAGGCTGTGATGGGCTCCAGAAGCGTAAGATTTACTTTGTAACAACATAGTCAGTCGGGGGGTGGTGTGCGAGGAGCGTGATGAGCCCGCCTCTAGCTGCCTTGCTCCACCAATGGTGAACGGTTAGTGATTGATTTGTGAAGAAAACAATCAGTGCTGGACACATCGCAGGTGGTGTCGGTCCATCTCTCCTAAAACCGACCCGACTGATGATGATGACATCAGCTGTTTATGGTTTTACGGTACTCTGCGGAATGTCAGTTCTTGCTTACAATAGAAGTTGCTCTCAAGATAAGCTGTACCCCCGAGGGCCCTGGTAATCGTATGGGTGAGGCGAGCAGGACCGAATAGTATCTCTTATGCAGAAATGAGGCTACAGTGATAACTAGACGCCATTTGAAGTTTCAGCAGCAGCCAAAACACGCAACATGCGGACCTACCAGTAATATGTAGTCAAGGCGATGCCGCTTCATGTCTGTGTCTGTCCCGTTTGGCGTGGGAGCAGTTATTCTATGCTATTCCCAAATGAAAAGGATCCACCCCGTTTGAGCGTACAGCTTGTCATAAAGTCCCATAGAGTCAAACAATGACATACAACTATGAGGGCACATCTGTAGCAAATACATAAATACAAAAGAACAGTAATCACAGCAGTACTTACATTCCAGACGGAGGACCAGAAACAACTCTTCATGGCAGCATACGATGCGCACAACAAATTGATGGATGACGCTATGAACGGAAGAGGTAACACTATAAAAAGCCTGTCGAAAGGACTACTGTTCCTTTGACATCCCACATATGTATGGTGACCAAGCCGCCGCGACTTCCTTAAATTCCTATTGTTCGTCCAGCTGCTATACGGCTACCTCAGAAAATATCGCTTGCTAACAAGTGAATTCCAGTAGAGAGTACATAGGTATGACTGCTATGACACAATTTATTTAAGGAATTGATCGGCATCTTTATGGCCTCCGGAAAGCAGCAGAAGTGGTGAAAAAAGACATTAAAAGTCAGCCTATCCTTTTCACAGATGAAGCCTTTAGGATCTCAGGCGGTGATGGGAACTTCCTCCTTTCTACGAGGTTTTTCAACGTTTTCGCATTTCTGCACTGAAGTAACATAGCTTAGCGTCATCGCTACACAGCACTAAGGAACGAATATTTAGTTTTATTGGCTATATGGGAGAAAATGATGAACTCGGTTCGTACGGATATGTCACGGCAATGTGCCCAGATGGTTACGGCGCATTCTATAGGATAGGGAAGAACAGGTACCCCCTCGATCTATTGTGTCTATATCAAAGTGACACTGACGACAAATTCGGGCATAACCAGGTGAAACTTGATGGTCAGGCTCATAAATTGTGACCTGTAGTCTATCACCTTTCTAAAATAGGAGGCTAGGACTGCAGGTGACCATTTCGTTTTTGGATGCTTCCTCATCATGGCTTCTTTTCAGAAAGTAGCCATGATGAGGAAGCATCTCAAAAACAGAATGGTCACCTGCAGTCCTAGCCTTCTATTCTAGAAAGGTGATAGACTACCAGGTCACAACAGACTTGCGCATAGGTTGGCCCGTGCAAGTCAGTGTTTTTATTCTTCTAGACGAGCTTGATAGCGACGGGCGCCTCTGAGGGGATTCAAGACTTGGTTGGCCGGCAGGTGATTTTGATTTTGATGCATGAACATCGCGCATGGTAAGCAGGCCACTTGATGCTGCTTCACTTCTGTCCCTTCCCAGGCTGACACTCTCAATCCAAAGAACTGCATGGAGTGGCGGAAGCGACAGTCGATAACAGGGGGTGAAAAAAAAACGTAGCGAGTTCTAGTCAGCAAGAAATCACATTATTTTCAATATCTTGTAGGTTACAAGTAACGATTACCGATTGGACTGGGTCGAAATCTGAGCTGGACTCTTACGGCGACAACATCGTTTGGTCTCTTACGAAGATGGCTTCTTTGTTCACTTACAAAGCAAATTTATGAAAATCCTACAACTTTCGCTGAAGTATTTACAATAAATTCCGATTTATAACTGCAGTTCTGCACTTCATAGTTCTCTTGGCGCTAGAATTATGACTACTTAGGAATTTCAAAGTTCACTACCAAGGGAATGGTTTCAGTTTCCCATGGAACTTTGAATGGAGACCTAGGTACATCGATAGAGTCTCGAATGCTGATTACGAATATGCACATCAAAAGTGCTACGGAGACCTTCCAGATGAGTTCTGGGCTTTGCGACAACTCGGTTTTGGCTCGTAAGCGCTGCTGATCGGTCACGGCCAATACCGCCGTGGCCTAGTGGTAACCGTCTAGCTTCATAGCCAAGTGCTAGTGGGTTCGCATCCCGTTGGCGCAAAAGTTCTTGTTTCGTCTCCTATAAAAGCTTTTACTCAAATTTTCAAAAGTTTCTCGAGTTTACGGCGGCGGAGCAAATAGATTAAGTAGATCAAGTACATGACCTACTCTATCGAATATGGATTGATCACTACTTGCCCTCTTTGAACACAGACCCATCCGACAGTTCGATATTTTTACCAGAATCACAATTTGGCCAGAAGCTAGTTTCTGAGGGTATTTTGACCCACTGAGCGCGAATATTACCCTTTGACGTGAAAACGAATAGATCCCTCGTTCAGCTGATGACCACAACAACGTGGCTACGAGGATTCTCTCGTATGTTATATTCGTGTTCAGGGAGCCAGAATACCCCCACAAGCGAGTTTCTGGTCAAAACTTCGAAACTTCGAAAATGGGTAATGAGTTCAGAGAGGGCAGATAGTAACCAAATTCACACCCGATCGAGTAGGTCATATACTTGATCTATTTGCTCCGCCAAGCCGTAAACTGGGGAGAATTTTGAAAATTAGAGTAAAAGCTTTTATAGGAGACGAAGCAAAAATTTTCGCGCCATCGGGATGCAAACCCGCTAGCACCTGGCTATGAAGCGAGACGGTTACCACTATGCCACGGCTGGGCACGCCATCGTTGTGATCATCACAAGGGGGAGGGGTCGTATTTGACCGCGAGGGAGGGGTTGGTCGCATTTGGTCAGGGGAAATTTTTTTACGCTGTAAGGGGGGGGGGGTTGTACTTGGTCACTTTTGGGAGGGGGCCGATCAACAGCGCTTACGAGCCAAAACCGACTTTTCGCAAACTTTGACCGCCCAGAACTCGTCTGGGAGGTCCCCGTAGCACCTTTAATGTACATATCGTAATCAGCATTCCAGATTCTATCGATGTACCTAGGTCTCCATTCAAAATTCCTTGGTAAGTTGAAACCATTCCCTTGTAAGGATAGAAGAATACAGGCTGTTACGAAAACAAACCGAGACGAGACCCAAACGTGCGCTGTTTATCGACGGAAGGGGGGGGGGGCATTTTGTACTATCACTGTCTTCCCTTGCTCCGGTTTGCAAATCTCTGGTAAAACTTGTGAACGCTTGTAAAGCTGGAGCAGGAAATCGTCATAGTCCACCATCCCAAAAACGTGTCAAATCAAGAAAACGCTACCTAGATGATGAGCTGAGATGGGTCGACACATCTATGGAAAGCAAAATGCCCCTCGTCGATAAAGTGTGCCGTGGAAGCATTTAAAAATGAACACGTAATATTGAGACAGACAGATGGATAGAACTTTGAACACCTTCATCGAAGGCCTCATTAATTTCGCTCGATATGAATAACGAGTGAAACCCGCATTAATGTCGGAATTACAAAAATACAACCTATAGATCAACTTTTAGCAGTAATTATCAACAATAAGGTGAACAATGCCACTGTTTCGTCCAAGCAGCCGTGAGTGCTTCCAATGACAATCTTCGAACTTCACTCCTAAATGTCAAAGACCACTTGATGTTGCAAAACTTATCCCACCAACACAACTGTTACCAATAACATGTTTCGAGGCGAATTATATTCGCATCAGAAGACGATGTAGCAAAATAAAAGGGAATAAAACGATATTAATGACTCATTTTGGCGATGAACTATTACAACGGAAAAGTCCAGAAACCGGCCCAGTTCAGGCATGTGGGGGCATTTTGCTGGTTCTCATCGATCACTGCCTATGCCTCCTGCAGAGACATCTGACCTTTGTCAAAGTATGCAGGAACATGAGCTTTTTCTGCACCTGACAAGAGTCTACAAGCCACACCGAGATCAACCATGTGAGTTAACAGGAATTAGTAAAAGAAATTAGCGACCTAGTATTAGGTTGTCCGGAGTTTTCAGCGTTTTAGGTGTTTCACTTTAAACGAAAGTAAC